CGTCCCCAGGAGAGAGAACTTCTGTGTTAAGGGGTCACACCCTCGGCTTCCCAGTGGTTACCAGGGGGTGACAGATGGCTGGGTGGGAAGCAGCTGGGCCAGGGACAGACAGCAGGGCTTGGTTCCAGTTTGACACGGCCTCAGTGGGACCTGCGGGAGACGGGCGGGGCACGGGGTGCTTCCTAGGTGAGGCAGGGGCAGGACGGTGGCTGGAGAGATCCAGGGGTCCTAGAGCTGTGTTCAGATGAGAGAATAGTGAACACCAGCTCTAAAGTCACATCGGAAAAGGGGGGGCCTGCCCTTGTCCCCTCAGGCAGTGCATGGGTTTGAGCAGGTGCAGCTGTCCTTCGGGGGAGACCTGGGACCCTAGGCAGGGAGGATTGAGGCAGAGGGACCTGGGGAACATCTGGACTGTCCCACCTTGAGGGCTCGGACTGGCTGTGTGGGCCAACGTTGACCTGGGGCACTGACTCCCAGGGGCCCAAGACTATAAATATGACAGGCCTGCAGGAGGGGGGGCGGGGGCAGGGTGCTTCTAAAAGCAGCTTCTTCCAGGCCCAACAGCTGGCCCTCTGGTCACAAGGCCCAGTCCAAATTAGATCACCCCACCCCTGCAGCCGGCCTGCCACAGGCTGGTGGGCTGTGGCCCTGCTGCTGTGACCTGGGACAGGTAGTCTCCACCAGGCTTTGTGGGTCCAAAATCCCCTCTAGGGTGCATGGCAAGACCGCCTGTGGGTTCCTTGGAGGACCTTATAGGGCCAACATTGTGTTGGGTGGCCGGGATACCCAGATATCCACAGATGTCTGGTGCCAGACACCCCCATAGTGCCTAAACATTTGGTTTGTGGCTTCTTAGCTGTCTTCCAGGGAGCAGCAGGAAGGCAGGCTCTGTGGAAGCCTGGTCACTGGCAGCCCACATCCAGCGCCAGTGTGGCTCAGTGCTGTGTGCTTTGGGGGCTGCAGGAGGCAGGGCAGACAGGGGCACACTACCTTGGAAAATCATCTTGCAGGTTCTCGAAGTTAAACCTGAACTCAGCACGCAGCCACAGCTGCGTCCCACTAGGACCCCACGGCGGAGGAAGGAGCGCAGGGTGGACATGAGGATGAGAACCCAAATGCTCATGCCTTGGTCACATGGGAGGCCCCACTGGGAGGACCGAAGGGAAGGGAGATAGTGGCTCTGTCTGGACACGTGGAGGGGGCTTGGCCCTGAGGAGCTGGAAGCAAAGGTGAAGGAAGTGGGCAGAATGCCTCAGTCTACACGGAGTGCCTGCTGGGAGCAGTGACCACCAGGGCTGACTGTGCCTGGCAGGGAGGCTCTGGAGTAACAGCAATGAGCCAACCCTGGTTGTGGTGATGGCAGTACCACCTTAGAAAGGGGCTGGAAATGTCACTGCTGACACGGGTGTGCACACCTGCCCACCTCCCCATAGTTGCCAGAAGCACCTCTGCCTCCTGCCTGTTCTCATGCCTCTGGGCACAGGCAGGATGCCTTCCCACCCCACAGCCCCTGGCAGATGCTGACTGAGTGATGTTTACTTGAAGCCAGCAGTGCCACACCAAGCATGCTCCAGACTGTGCTGGGCAGAGGAGGAAAGCAGGCTTCCTGCCACAAACTCAGGGTGCTGCTGGCCTTCTGGGTGTGGTCTCATGCTTGGCCTGGACACAGGCTCCCTGGTCAGTGCTGAGGGAGATTCCGAGAGGAGCAGGCCTGACCCAGGCTGCTGGGCAGGGCAGATGAGCCAGTCTTGAGTGGACACTACAGGGCAGATGCCCGTCCAAGGGGCACTGACAGGCCCCACTGTGCTTGTGTCTCTTTTGCTACTCAAGCCATCACCTAGCTCCTGGCTCCATGACTGTGTCGTTCACGGTGACAAGAGGGCAACAGCCAGATGCCCACTGAGGATTTTAAGCCCAGCCTGCCTCTACCATCAGACACAGGTGAATGCTTGGGGCCACCCCACTGTCTGATGGAGTCTGGAAACCAGGACAGTTCAGGCTGAACCTGCCAGTGTCTGCCTGGCCTGACCTCTCTCGACTGTGGAGTCCAAGCCCACCCTTGAGTGCCAGTCCCTGTGCCCACTGCCCTCTACCCACTGTTCTCCGTCCACCTCGTCCACTAACTCACCCCTCTTCCCACGTCACCCCAAAGCACTGTCCAACCCTACCCGTTTGGCCGAAACACAAGTCATGGTGGGCAAATCTTGTTCTTTATTGGCTCAGTGGCCCAGCTGGGGCCTGGGCAGCTGGTCTTCGGAGGGGTGTTGATGAGGTGGTGAGTCCAGGTGCAGGGGTAAGGGCTGGGCACACTGCCCACAGCACTGCCTCCTAGTCTGCCTCAAGCCAGGCCCTGGAGTCCCTGTACCACCCCCAGCACAGCTACCTCTGAACAGCACAGACTCAAAGAGAACCACCTTTCAATTACAAACCAGCCCAGGACTGGGTAGGGTGGCACATGCCTGTAACTGCAGCCACACAAGAGGCTGAGATGGGGAGGTCCAAAGTTGGAGGCCAGCCTGAGCAACTTAATCAAGAGTCTGTCTCCAGAAACCCAAAATTAAAAAACAAAACAAAACAAAAAAACACCCTGGCTGAGCTGATGGAGGCAGGGCTGGGGTGAGGGTAGGCAACATATTCTGAGGGCCACGAGGCACCTGGGTAGCAGGGTAGGGGTGATGGGGTCACAGGCTGGTGCCGGGTCATGAAGCAGATCACGAGCTGCGTGCGTGCAGGTTGTGCAGAGGTGCTAGCCCTTGGCATTGGAGCCTGTGCGGTCCCGGCCATGATGCCTCCAGGGAGCTCGGAAACTCCGTCTGGGTAAGGCACGGAGTTCAGCTCCTCGGGCTCTGCCCCAGCCTGGCCGTAGAGCCTGCCAGCAGCATGTCCTGGGCCACCATAGTGCCGTGGCTGCACATCTCTCACTTGGCTCTGGGCTTGGGACGGAGGCCTGTGGAGCAGAGGAAGTGACATCACCAGGAAGCCCTGCTGGGGACAGCTCTGGGTCCCTGTGCCATGCAACCCTGCTGCTAAGGCTGTGCCTTGTGTCCCAGGTCCACCGTGATTACAGGCTCTCTGACCACACCCATCACCTACACTCCGGTCCCCACTGGCCCCACCAGTGGGAGCCCTCACTCTGTGTCTGCCAGCATTGAGGACCAGGGCCTTTACCCGAATGCCCCCGACTGGCCCTGCAGGGCCTCTGCTCAGCACTCTCTGTGCTCCCCGAGGAGTCCACCCTGTCACCACTCTGGTGCCTGTGTCCTGGAGTCTGTGGCAGGTTTGGGTGTGAGAACCTCTTTCCCAAAGAGATGCAGCAAGAATATGAGCAGAAACAAACTGCTGAGGGCTGAGGTTTAGCTCAGTGGTACCACATCTGCCTAGCAAGCACAAGGTCCTGAGTTTGAGCCCTGGTTCAGCAAAAACAAAAACCTGCTGAGAACATACCTAAGGTGGGATTTCAGCACCAGCCCACTGATGGGAACTGGGATGGGCCTGGCAGGCAGGGGTGGCAAGGCCACCAGTCAAAGACAAAGGGCAGGGCCAGGGATTTGGCTCAGTGGTTCTGTCACCTGCCTCTTAAGCACAAGGGCCCGAGTTTGATCCCTGGTACCAAAAAAACCCCCCAAAACCAAAAAAACTAAAAAACTAAAAAAAAAAAAAAAAAAAA